GTTAAAATGTTACACTAAATCATGGCCACGCTTTCATGAATATTCATCCCCTTCATTCTTATAATATCAGCATGAAGTTCTCTCGTGGCTTAATGTGATGTGTATTGTGCATAGCTCCCCTTCATTCGTTAGTTCGTATCCCGCCATAGGTTCTTTCAACTTTGTCAAATTTTTCCAGGTTGAGTTAATATGAAAACCCCAGGACACTTTATATTCCATTGAGTTAAGATAAAATCCCATGGGAATTTTTTTGCCAGCGAGTTTTGATAAGAAAAAATGACACCAAAAAAATTGAGGCCTGGGATTGGTTGAAGGTCATGTGCCATGATTGAAGCATAAATGCAGCATTAAACAAAGATTGCCATGGGTAGTTGTTTTTTGAAACTACATTGTTAAACTATTCGTTTGTGTTGATTGCTCATCAATTACAGTAAATGGTCATACATAAACTTATTAAGTTAATACGTATTTATGACATTCAAAGATGTGTAAATTGCATGTTGGCACATCTTGAACGAAGATTAAATACTATTGCTGGAGTTTGGTAATAATGCATAACAGTTTTGCAATTGCTGTTAGAGTTCCATTTGATTTAGTTCAATAACTTGTAAACTGTAATAAAATTCTTTTAATTCGGATTGATGTACATGTAGATCGATTTGTAGACTTATCAATGCTACAATAAACCAAGTGTTTTCACTAATTATGCGCTTTTGTTTGGTATATACAGTCAATAGTTGTGCGGTAAGCTAGCGTTCGTTGCATCACACTGCATCGTGGGATCGTCCAAAGTTGTGTGCTCAGAATTTAAAATGACTATAGAAGACAGGGAATTAAACTAATTGATTTTCTGTCAAAACATACGTGAAGGTCGTTATTATGAACATTTACTATTTAAACAATAGTTTTCAGGTCTCATTAATTATGCAAATCAGATGCAAATATGTAAATTAGTTCTTTATAAGTTTAAACTTGATTTTCATAGTCTTGCCATCGAGATGGAAACTTGAAATTTTCACAAGATAAAGAAAACCACCTGTTGATTTACAAAAGAGAAAAATGTGTGTAATTATGCAAAAATACACTCCATCTCATCCTTAAATTATGACTTATGACTTTGGTTTGACTTGTCATAGCGTGGTCGACCATGTCCTAACTGCCATCGAGAAGGCAGCACAGTTTTATTCATCGTTAATTAACCTATTGTCAGGAATAAAGCCAGAGTAAGAGGACTTTTCTGCTGACATGATAGTCGTACCTCGTTAAATTTTACACAAAATACCAGACATATTGGGGCTGTATCATGTCAATGACTTGTTTTTAATGTTTTTAACCTCAAGCCCACAATTTATACAAATTTACATAGCTGATTCATACAAAATGTAGGACATGGATATTATAAACTGCAACAGGGAATGCAGACAACGGGTTTAAAACAGTTCAAAACAATGTTTACATTATTTCTAGTCTACTTTTACAATATGAAACACCATTAACATCATATGTTCTATTCAGTTAAATATTTATACTGACCAATAATACCACATCTAAACTTTGTTGATAGGAGGTGCAGGAAACATAAATTATAAATAATAAATCATCCCAAATGGAGGGCAATTCCCATTTGAATGCAGTTCACAATATTTGTTTAAATCCATTTTTTTGGATAAAGGCCAAATAAACCAACTGGTTAGCATTACCCAAACCTGTTTAAACCCCTATACCGTCATACATTGCGATATATATCTGCGCATCGTTCGCCATTAACACATAGTATGAAATGCTTGTCATTATGTATTACGTATTATATTACGAACTAACAAATACAAATCCGTGCCAACATAGGGGTTGGAAGGTAAGGCAACATTGTTTTCTGCCATGTACAGGCAACAAAAGTCAAATACATCTTTATCACATGGGTGTCCTTTTATCGCCAAACAGTGTTTCTCTACACAAATTGATTTCAGCTGATGAAACGGGTGACAAAAAATTGCGACTTCCGTATATCTCTGGAACTGTTAACATTATGTGAGGTTGGCCAATCGGAGTAGAAGCATTGCGTGATCGAGTAATACGATGTGTATTCCACTCCACCAGTATATCATTGAGTTCATCCTAGAAAATGACAAAATAACATAAATATTACCTATATAATAAATGATCTAACGTTTACTGAACCTAAAACTGTCAGGAAACTCATTTAGGTCAGGAGTGACAATTTAACTCCATGCACGAAGGCAACGGTGATATGAAAATGATTCATGTTCATAATTCTTAATCAAACACATATTGATATATACGTATTCATGCTAAATATATCAGGGTGCAGATCCCCGAAACAACTTTTAACACTAATATCGGGTTACGGAAATAATACAACAGCCCAGACAGAACGATTGCTATAGTGTTGCTATAATCTAAGCATTGTGAGTAAGAAGATTAGGAGTAAAGTACATAATATTTAATTACCTGAATCATTGCCATAAAGCAAAAACGGATTAGGTTTTTGTCAAGATCATCACCACAGAAATGTCTATCATCTTTAATGCCTTTAAACAGATCCATCCAGAATTGCCCACAATGATTTCGAAATGTGCCCCACCACCGTTCTATTCTCTGGTTCATCTGGCTGGTTCCATAATAAAAGCTACCCTCGTCATTTCGAAAGAACTTTTTTGAAACTGTTCCACATGCCCATTTTCTGTACCTCTATCTGCGCGGATTATTCTTGGACAGCCTCCCAAAGACTGCACAGAGTCAAGATAATAATTTGCTATGATTTTCGGATTACTGTTCGTATGATAAGCTTCCGCCCATATAATATACCTAGAAAACCCGTCTATGCATCCATTAATCCCTATACCGTATGGAGTAAGTTTATCATAAGAATCCAAATGCCATACATGATTAGGGCCTGGAGATCCGTATCTTCTGCGGCGAAGACGATGTCTTGTTCTTGATTTCACGCCTAGCGGGTCAATTAACTTCAGCAACAACCGCACACTTTCCCTAGTCACAACAAACCCATGTTGTAGGCACTTTAAGTGCAACCACTTATATCCGTGTAGCCTGCCAGAACCACCCACTTGTTCTTTTATGAACACTGAAACATCTTCTATGTTAGAGTACTGTTTCCGTCTATAAAGACGTTGTTTTCCAAGTAGTCTTTTCAGGTGACGCATACTAATGATATAATTGTGATTGCTAGCCCAAATCTCACTGTAATTTAGTCCCATCTTAAAGTAAAGCAATATAGCTTTATCTCTACTCATTTTTTTATGATCTAAACAAGAACATGAATGAGTATATTGTTAGTATATGGTGTGTTCCACACGCTTCCGAGTCGATGCCTCAGGATTTCTGATCCGATCCAATCCAAACAAAAATTGATGCTATGCAATGATGATTGTTATGCTTACTCAACTTCAGGTCACTTGTGAGTTGGTTACCTGCAAGTCTTACATCCCAAACAAGATGACTCCAAACAGGTTCATCAAGACTCTAGCAGAGGACACGTTGTATAGGCCCACGAGTTGTGATACAAGATATTAAGTTGTGGGAACAGGTTAA